GCCAAATAGTCGACACCGTTGCCCATACGGTGTCACGTGACAGGCGCGACGGCGCCTACCATCCAAATAGACATCGTCAAGGTTCGGCCGGAGTCGCGGTAGAATGCTAACGCGACTGTTTTAATAAATAAATAAATAGAAGGTTCGTTTTTATAAAATTACATAAATACATATAGAAATTAGTAGAGTACAACTTTACATTAAAATGTTAAATAAATCTTTTTCTATTTAAAATCGGTTAAAAAAGTTTAAATTCAAAATCTCGGCAACACGCACGTGACACCCCTGGTTAAATAAAGCAAATCCAATATAGCAATATCCTTATTCATGTAGGTCTATTACAAACTCTTATGATATGTCAAAAACTACCATCAGTTCGGAGAGTATTCGAGCTAAGAAGAACTGACAAGAAACTCAGCTCTTATTCTTTTCAAATGTGCTTGTACATGTTTACTAACTACATAATTAATTTTTAAATTCAAAATTAGTATATAGTTTTTCAAGTGTCTATGGGCTACGGTTTACCATCAGATGGGCCGTATGCTTGTTTACCAACACCGAAATAGAAAAAATGGTATATTACCTGAATAATCTGTAGAGTCACTAGATTTGCCTGTATAATATTTGTTTAAACATTATTATTCACATCTTAACTGTTTTCTAATTACGTAAAAAAGCTCTTAAATTAAAAAAAATAACACAAAAGATTAAAAAATTTGCAAGAGGCGGCGTGCTCTTTGATTTTGGCCGACTTTTTGATGGGTTAAACAGATGTTCACCTAATTACGATTTTGCTGCACGTGTTTATGTTCTAGCATTCACTACAAAAATACAACATTGTTGTTTTGTTATTTTTGATGTTCTATTAAGGTACTTACAAAATAGAGGTGAAATGCAATTGGTGTTATTTAGATAACAAGGAAATAATGTTTTGTAATAAATATATAAATAAAGTTATATATTTCATTGCCGTTTTAAAATAACATTAGAATTTCTTGATTAAATTGTTCTAGATAACACCCAGACTGATACAAACAATTATACTCAAGAATACAAACATTAATATCGTGCGAGGAATCGATCACGTGACTATTGGAAATAAAGCGGTGTGCTAAACGGCTGGACCACCGAGGATCATTAAATAAATATATAAAAAATGCAACGATTTGACAATCTCATTTTGGGAGCAGGTTGATTATGTATCAAACAATAAACAGTGTCAACAGTCAATCATCGTATTTGTCATCTACCGGAACACTTCATGATACAAAACTGAAGTGGACACTCCTACATTCGGTGGAGATGATATATCTGGGTGACCTTTTTTGAAAACTGTTAGTGCCAATTGATTCGTATACCGGGTTATTTGTGCGGAGCGCGAAGGGACTGAATTAGTAACACAATTTCGTTGTTATATTCTCTTTAACTGATATCAAAAATGAGGTTGCAGTTCGATTTCCAATCAATTTATTATATAGTTATATCATTGTTTAATTATTGCATCTAGTTTTTTTTTCAAATGAGATGCCTTTTGATTTCCATCCAATTCGAAATTTGTAAATATAAAGTATACCTTCCTATGATTCTAGAAGATAGTGTATACAAATAAATAGAATTGAAGAGTCTGTTTGTAATATTTATTAATAGTATTTCACTAAATACATTTAAAAGTATTTATGGTTCTTGCAATGAAAAAGTCGTTTGTTCGTCCGGCTGATCGTTTTGTTCTTGTTAATCTCTGAAATAGTTGCACCAATTTTGATGGTAATTATACTCGCAGATAGCTAATGTTATAAGGAGTAACTTAGACTACTTTTTTTCAATAAATTAAAAGGTTAAATTCCACGCGTATGCAATAGCTACTACTGCTACTGTACTTAAGAACTACTATGAATATATAATATATGTGTCACTTGGTTATTATATTATAATTCACTAAAAAGAAAGATAAATATTGTTAACGATGTTGTGTGACAATGTTTAAAAGAAGAAGATTAGTGTTTATTTCTTTTACGTACATATTATATTTTGTCAATAACTCGGGAAAAAATGGCCCATACCAACTCTACTGACTAAAAAGATTATTAAAAACTTACAATACATGAACATTACTCTAATTACGTAATATTCAGTTCCTTCCGAATTATTCTACAACTCGACAACTAACAATACATCATGTCAAATCACATTACGAAATAAGATAATAAAATATATATAAAACTAATCTAAATTGTACCTTAAAACTTTTTAAGTAGAACCTAATTTCGTTTGATTGTAAATATTTAAAAGTGCTGGTGCTTTGATCAATGCGCATTCTTTTTCTATTCATCAGAGCTCGTTATGGAATTTGAACTCTTGACTCGTGAAATAGGAGTGTATTTTCTTTAAATAGTATTGAGTCATAGTTTCATATATTGCCTACTGTGTAATGTACATATAATTGACATTTCTAGCTGCTGTTGCCACAATATCGTTTTCAAATATTTGTACTTATAATATCTCCTAGTACACACTCTATCTTGTCCCCTCCGATCGATCCTACGTCTAATTTATAAACGGGGATCGATATTACGACGGGCTGAGCTGAGGTTCGAACCACTAGCATTGCCCTTAGACTAAAGTCCTATCCGTCAGGCGGGAGTTGGCCTTCAGCCGTTACATAAGTCCTTCCTTTGGTTTGGAGTGCCATCTATACTCGCACTCTATCGTCCGGTGAAGCTGTAAAGGACAGCTGCGGCTAACAGCATTAGAGTAGTCCGAAAAAAAAAACTCTATCCTGAGAGATATAAACGATCGTTCTTAAGAATATCCTTTAATTCTTGTTCCTAAACTCTGAAAAAGGACGCAATAGATCTCTGCAGGTCGCAGTGGTACAGGTCTAAACACCTAATAAAAACAAATTTTATATTTATGTTAATAGATTGAATAATGCTAGAAGAAGTGCGTGATTTAATTTGAGATTAGAATATAATATATCAGTAACTTCATTGCTATATATTATTGTTCGACCATACTGAGCAAGAGACTCTTCTCTATCTTGGTTTATAGAAGAATTTAAACTACTTACTTACTATCATGCTCTTCTGACGGCTTAGTGAGATTTCCTTGTTATACAATATATGTTTTCCTTTATTCTTGTAATTACTTTTTACAATATACTTGAAATAAAAAGCTCTCGTTGTCAATTCCATCTGTATACTGAACTGGGCGGTAGAGAAAAAACATTAATAGAAAAAATTTGACATTCATATGCGGCTAAAATATCCTACATGAATAAATGATTTCTAATCTGATTTGCGGTTTAGAACGTCGCCTTATTTCTGATGGTTGCGGGTTCGATTTCTCGCAAGGTACAAATATGGTATTGTTGAGTATGATTGTTTGTTGTATACTACGTATGTATTTAAAAAGAAATTGTTTATAATCATTTGTATCAGTTTTTTAGTACTTAGTAAAAGGATTATATATATTGTATTTATTACATTAAATAGTGTTAAGGCAAATAAAAGAATAGATCTAGAATTAGGAGAACTTACTACAGGAATGGACATACATAATTGACATTCTTGTATATGAATAATGATTTACTATTTTTCATTAGATGATTCATCAATTTATTAGGAAGGTTAAATACATATATTTAAAATGTAACTGATGTCTGTTTGTACCTACGTGAAAGATATATGTATAAAAATATTGGACTGGTCTTCAGCAACCTAAAACATTGGTTGTTATAATTTTGTCTTGTTTATAGATTATATAATGTGGTTGTGCGTGGTAAAAAGGATATGAAAATAAGTAGGGTGAAGGATCGTAATTCATCTGGGTATTAGGATGTTATTGCATTAAAAATCATCATAACACTCTTCTTAAGAATACTAGAAAATCACAAAACTCCATATAAAATAGACAATGCACACAGATGCAAATTCTCCCCGCAAAGCCAATGGGTCGTGTCTGTCACAAATTCAACATAATTATTCAAATTTAGCGCTGTGACTAATTTTCCTGCAACACGTCTTGTTTTTAATATAAAAACATACGTAGGCAAAAAATAGTCTTAAGCAATGATTCACTCTCTGAACTTCTATAGCATTTATTAGATTTTCTTCATCTGTTATATTAAATATAGAATAATTGGCTTCATTGTTGATCTCAAAGTGATTTAATTATTATAATTACGTTTATGCAGTTTCAATCTTTAAATTTGAAACAAACATTCTGACTAGCACTAGATGGTAAACGGTAACCGTTGCCAATATGATCGGAACTACAGCCATTACGTTATCCGTGATACCCACTCATACCTTGCTATTACAGAAGACTAAGATGTCATGTCTCTTATGCTGTAATTGCATTGTCTAATCTGCACAGTTGACAAAGCAAACCGCATAGGAATTTTACATTCTAATCTAGAAAAGTGTCATTAGTAATAACAGTAGTAGAGTTCACAACTGCTATTAATTTGTATCAAAATGTAAACAATATCCTATAATAATAATATACATAATTAATCAATATATATGATAGATTAATCAATATATATATATATATAAATCTGATGAAATTAATCAATATATATATATATATCTATGAATGTTGCAGTTGTATTTTAAAAAGAGAAAACAATAAGAGACAATTATTATGCAGCATGAAATATTAAGACAATGGTCCACAAGGACTTACGCTTACTCATCATGCAATTGAAAACATTAATTAAGGTTATAATAAAGAAGCGCGTAACAGAAAGCTCTATGCACGTACAGTTTATATTTCATTCATATGAATGACAAATACATATGTCCGACTTACTAACACAGATAAGGGTCCACAAGCTGCAAGTGAGAATGAAAGTGAACTTTAATGCATAACATTAGAGTTGCGAGTCTATCGAAAGCGTTTGAGAATCTTGCACATGGCGTATAGTAAACAGAGAGGGCCGATGCCGGCGCAAGCGCAGCGTCAGTCAGCCGTTGATCAGTGTTCTAACCGGGCATCTATTGAACGGCACGCGCTAACCGAGTGCAGCGCACGCGTCGAACGAAATACAAATAAAATAATATCGGGTGTAACACAAGGGTGCATCCTTAGACCAGTGTTATTAAAAGTAAATATTTTAAATCAGAGTAACAAATATACATCTGTTGTTTGTAAAAGTGAAGTATTTTATGGTACGGCACATGAGATGCTGATCGTGCGGTAAGTAATTTTCAAATCTTCTTACCGCGTTTGAATGGCACCATTGTTTAAACCAGTTGTCTTTTTTCATAACATCGCCCATATCAATGGCACTTTCATCTCGTCTATATTGTTTTGTTACATCTAATCTAAGTTCTAATTAAAGAGCAGTAAGTAATAAAACATGTTAAAGCGTTGTCGTAAAGTTTTTACGAGTTTTAGCTAGAAATGCCTATTTTATCGCTGGTAGATACTAAATGTTTAGTATAGCGTACTTGAACTTCGAGTTCATGTTTACATCCCACGTTATCTTCACTGTTAACTATTGGGAAATTCGCGATAACAAAATAATATGAGTCATTATTATTTAATTTTCCATAATAACAACAATCAAATGATTGATTGCCTGTGGTTTTACTCCGCGTATGGTTTTGAGATAGCTAGGACGTTCTACTGGAAATTAAATGAAATGATTTATTTTGGAAATATTAGTACTTACAGTAGACAAGATGTTAAATTAAATATTATGATCAGCTATATTTATCGTAATAGGCATGCAAATTATATAAATGTATTTGTTTTAGTCAAATATTCTTGAACACTGTAAAAATTACCATTAGCAATTTTGAACTTAGTGTTCAGGTATTAGGTAAGAGTAATAATAAAAATCTTTATTGTAGCGTCAATAGCATACGTGCTAGTATTTTTTTCTAAACTAATGTTAGTAAAGTCCTCAGTTAGTTAGTAATAAATACAATTACAGTGGTTACAATTGAATATAACATTGGTTATATTTTTAGGCGAATATTATATAAGAGGTTTTAGATTTTATTCATCGATGATTAAAATTTTTAAAAACCATTCTTATTGTTTACTTAACCGTATAAATTTTGCAAGAGACACCCGATGAATTAAGAAATGAAATGAAAAATTTAATAAGTGGTATTTTAATTTTAACGTGTCTGTATATATTTGTGTGTCTGTCTGTAACATCGTAGTTCCTAAACTGATTATAAATTTTGTAATTAGAATTATCATGATTTTGTTTATTATTGTTTTTAACACCAAACTTATTAATTACATTATTCTGTAAATTCTTACTAATATTTTTATTTGAAAAATTATATCTTCTCTTTTAACTCTCTCTTCTTTTAACTTTTAATTTTCTCAAAAGAGAGAGAGAGACAAGTTAAATCATTTAAACTTGTCATACTTAAATTAGTAGTTTTTTAATTTAGATTTTTGTTTGTGACTCAATTCTTATAATATTATTTTATGTCAGGACACGAAACCCCTTTTCGTATAAAAGCCATAAAATAAGTTGTAATTATAAAAAAAAACAAAAAACTTCTATCTGTCAACAAAGTTTATTATTTATTATTAATTTTAAATACATTAAAAATAATTATTTTAATACTTTCGTGTTTAATATACATTATTAATATTATTAACCGGGTCTTAACACGAATAATTTTATGACAAATAAATGTATTTACTTCTCTCGACATTTCGACTAGGTTTCACTAGCCTTTAAAAACCACATTAAAAATAGACAACAGACAGAAACACAAACATTTTTCTATATCTTTATTGTAATTTCTACGATCAAAGCCGGATATTTTCATAATATTGCAAATGCGAAAGTTTGTGAGTATGTATGTTTGTTACACTTTCACGTAAAAACTACTCGACGAATTTTGATCAAACTTTACAATAATATAGGTTATAAATCAGAATAACACATAGGCTATAATTTAAAAAAAGTATATATAAATTGGGAGAAATATAATGATACTTAAATATCAAATAAGTGTGATGCAGAAGAAGTTACGCGAGTAAGCTAGTTAATAACTATTTAATAATAACATACAATTAAATATCTGCCTATCAATGTAATGCCTAACAATGTCTTGTTTTACATCACAATACATTTGATACAAAACTACAAATTGTAGTGACATATAATTTCCATAAATCATCTGACAGTCTATAATTACAGTTGTTTACGATATTGGAGACAGTGGAACTGCAAGTTTTTGCTGGTCGAATCAGTTTCCCGCCGTTGTTTATTATACACTAGCTATGCTCGCGACTTCACGTGGAATAGTGAGCTTGGATAGCATTTTTAGTTATTTAGGCTAATTATTTTATATACTTAATTCAAAATATCTTTATTCATGTAGATTTATTACAGACTCTTATGATATGTCAAATCTACCGTCAGTTCGGAATGATTTCGAGATGACAAGAACTGACAAGAAACTCAATTTGTATAAGAAACTAAACAAATAGGACATACTTATAAATATTTCAATAACCTAAAATGTTTCATCATTCTAGCCTCAAAAATAACGAATTTCCATACAAATTTACATCCCCTATTTTATTTTACTCCTTTGATTATATATTTAATCAACAGTCTAAAAAATAAGTTTCAAGCTTCTACATTTAAAAATGACGATACTTCCTTACATCTTTTCTTCTCCCCTTTCAACCCTTTACAATCCTATTTTCGCATTAAAAATAAACTACGTCCATTCTTAGGGTCTGGACTACCTGTGTACCAAATTTAAATAAGATCGGTTCAGTAGTTTTGGCGTGAAAGCACGACAGACAGAGTTACTTACGCATTTATAATATTAGAAAGGATTTCACTATTTATACGTATAATTAGTAAAAATCACGGGATCTTACCACGTTTTATATTTATTTGCTGAGTTCCCGATATTTCGGCAGTGTTTCAACCACCGTGATCACGGGTAAACTCACGGGATTTCACTATTATCTTAAGTGCCTTGTCATATTTATGTATATTATACTTGTTACAATCTTGAGGGTCGTAGAGATAATTTTTATTAACCTTACAAAGAGATAAGGATGCAGTTTGCTATAACAATTGTTCTTATTGCCATTGGTATGGCAAAATACGTGGTCTTATACTTTGATTAACATCTTACGTGCTGTGTTTTTGATCAAATAAAATAATTATTTATTAGTGCTATTAGAAATAGAAAGTTTCAACCTTCTAGCTTTAAAAATGACTATTCTTCCATTCAAACTTTCATCTTTCCTTTCAACCCCTTACAACCCTTTTTTCGCATTAAAAAAGCCTATGTCCTTTCTCAGGGTCTAGACTAACTGTGTATCAAATTTCATTTAATTCAGTAGTTTTGGCGTGAAAGCGAGACAGACAGACAGACAGAGTTACTTTCGCATTTATAATATTAGTAAGAGTAAGAAAGTAAGGATTTTAAACTTGTACAGAATTAGCATTATCTCATATTAACCAAATGATCACGATCTAATAGTTGTGAAGTCAAAATTGTTCAGTTCTATTTCTAGCGAAGTGTCCACTATAAATACTCCAAGGGTCGGTCTGTCTGTCTGGTCCAAATGCCAATAAGGTGATCGACATTTAAACTGCTTTGAAAGTATTGTTTGAACAGAGAAGTGAATTGCAATCCCTTTTACTGCATGATGGGGAAACAATGCAGGAAAACAAATATGCGATTGCAAATATTTGGGGAGCCACTCTGGTTTTGCACGGGTTTGCAATTATTGTAGAGTTATTATTGTATAATCTATACATATAAATAAAATTGGAGCGTCTGTTTGTAATATTGAAATAACCGTTTTTTACTACATGCATATGAAATTATGAATATAAATACGGTACATACGCCAAAATAACATTTTTTACAAGGTTTGTCTGTATGTTTGTTCCGCCTAATCTCTGAAATGTCTGGACCGATTTTGACGGGACTTTTTTGTCAGGTACCTGATGTAATAAGGACTGCGTGTGTGTACAATGCAGTAAAAGAACTTCAATAATATGTAGTAAGATGGTAAAATCCCATTCGAGTTACCAACAGATATCTATAATGAGTCGAGATAGCTGGGTTTTTACGGACAGCAATTCTTGGCAAAATAATGTTAATATTTAAAATGAAAGTTCTCTGTTTATTGTATATTTGTGATATACAAATATGGCTGGGGAAATTGATGTGGTTTCTGAATATTTTAATAACATACGTCACATATTTATATATCGCTCACTTATTGTAATACTGGCTTAATTCAAAAATTACAAATTTTGGAATTGCCACTTTATAACTGAGGCATTTAAGTCTAATTTGAAAAAAATAAAATTTCTGAGTTACACCAGTATTGTACTAGACATGCGATATATATGTTTTATATACATATATATAAATTTATAAATATCTTATATATAAAATTCTCGTGTCACAGTTTTCGTTCCCATACTCCTCCGGCTTGACCGATTCTCATGAAATTTTGTGAGCGTATTGAGTAGGTCTGAGAATCGGCCAACAACTATTTTTTCATCCCCCTAAATGTTAGGGGTAGTCCACCCCTAATTTTTTTTTTATTTTAAGGCAAAACAACGTTTGCCGGGACAGCTAGTAGATATATAAAATTTTGATGAAGTAATTTATTTTTTAGTAATTTACATTATGTGTGTGTGGGTGTCATGTGTGTGTGTGTGTAGTGAAGTGTGTGTGTGTGGTTTTTAACTTATTATATATATATATATATATATATATATATATATTATATCTATATAAAAGTACATATGACTGTATAAATGATGATATGCAAGTATGCAATAATATGGATATATACTCTGAAAGGTAGCATAGTAAATTCAAAATTACTCCAATACCAATTAAATCATAAACCCTATACAGAACGCAGCCATAATTTCTATCTCGCATCCTACAGCATAGCATGCGCATAATTCCGTAGCATTGAGATTGGTTGGTTTCATTGTTCTGTACATCTGGTTTTCATCCCGTCATACGTTCCGCGAAATAGACTATATTACTTATTAGAAACCATTCTGTTTAGAATTTGTGTATTGGAAACTATTAACCAACGAGGAAATTCTGGAAAAGCGATGAAAGGTTTAACGCATTATGATGAAGTTATTGTTAAGATTTTTACTTAAATGTTCAAACTGTTGATTATATATATTACTGGCTACTGCGACTTCGTCCGCG